AAAAAGCAAATCGATCAGATTTCCTAACTAATTATTTACACAAAAAATATGTTATTGTTGATCCTGAGGAGATCTGTCTAACGATCTATAAGGAAAGAGTACGATAAGATAGAACACGCTTACAGGAGATCGAGATGTTTAGCTGACTGACCTAGTGAAATTCTCAGAGCCAAGCCAGCCAGCAAGGCCATATGACCAATGGTATAAGAACGAACCCATCAGCCAGAACAAGATAAGTATCGTCGGAGCTAACTATCACAGGAGAGTCGAGTCAAGGGAAGATCAAGTTCCCTAGAATATCCAACCATCCCAAAAATGTCTAAAAGTTCCTCATCATAAGTCAATGATCCACAATCGGGTTTTATTAGCCGATCAACTCATACCAGTCAAGCTCAGCCAACCAATCCATACTGACTTAGCTCAACCGACCGAAAGAAGATCCATTCCGACAAAGCTTGTCTTATCGACCTGATTCCGACTAAGGTTAACCTACCAAGTCAAAAGTAATCGGACGTCGAGTTCACCCATGTAAAATACTATAAAACACCTCAAATCTCTTTAAAGCAAAGTCAAAAATATAATATCATCATTATGTACATAGTCTTATATATATATAATTTTGAATATTACATACGAACAAATCTACGAATCATTTACATTTACATGCGTACAAATCTACCATCATTTTAATATTTAAAAAAGTGAAATACATTTTTCATGCACATGCAAAATGGTATATACGTAAAAATTGAAGTTTAGGTACGTGTTAGAAATGTAAATACACAGGAATTGAATGGTATATATGTAAATCTTCCTAAAAATAAACCTTTAATTACACAAAAAGAGGAATTTAGGAATTAAGATGAGTCAATCATGGGAATGGAATTTTCTTGAGGTTCCATATTCTTGTATCTGATAGACAAGTAGGAAGCTTCCAAGAAACCACCATTAATGTTATCTCATCACATAGACAAGCACATGCATGAGGACAGGATATCATAAAGTATGAAAAACTTACATATATACCATGCATTTTTTTTGTTTTTACATATCTATCCCCAAACTTTTATATTTACATTCATAACACTTTTGTGTGATAAACCTGATTCTTCCCTTTTATATATATATATATATATATACACACACACATACATAAATACATACATATTCTTAAACAAAATGTGGTGAAGCTAGTCTTGGGGCATTTACATGCATAGTACCAATTTTTATGCATTTTCATATCTAACAACTAAATTTAACATTTTATATTTATACCGCGAAAAATTTTCATATCACATAAAGATATTTATAATTTAACTTTTCAAATGTGAAATACACGAGATAATATTATATCAGGACTCCTAACGTAATTTGTGTTAGGAGTCTAATGGTGGGATGTCATGTGTCAAGTGGTTCCCCCGTAATATACAGACATTGACCAATGTTAAGAATAATGGGACCCGCCTGACATGTGGCGCTCCATCATTGGACTTTGAATGCATCCAGAGTCCTGATGTAATATTTTTTGGAAACACACACTTTCATGCATGGACAGGACTGATATGTATGTAAAATTTTAAGTCTAAATGTTGTACATGCAAACGCATAGGAATTAAATGGTATGTATGTAAATATTCCTTAAGTCTTATGGCTCAATATTTGTATAATAAAAAATATTTAACGTCTTCGAAATCATTAATTTGTTGAATTTATCTAAAACTATTTATATTATTTGTGAGTTTATTGTTTTTTTTAATTTTATTTTAATTATTTTTTCTCTTCATAATTAAATTAAATTTCACCTATTACCCAAAATATGCAATTATTGTTGCAAAAAAATTCTTCTGAGATATATATCTTAATATATGTTGAGAATTTTAGGGCAAAGAAAAGCAAGAATCGACACAAATCCAGAAGAAAACACAAAAATTTAACGAGATCACACAAATCCAGAAGAAAACACAAAGATTTAACGAGATCTGAGACAAAGATGCTTACGTCCTCGGGAGCAGAGCGGCGACTTTTTTTCAATTTCAAAAAAGAGCACAGAACACCCTTTAGGATTACAATGCGTGTATATATGTATAGCTCTGGTGTACAATGTGTAATTACAAAATTACCCCTATACAGTACTGCGGGGGCGCTGCCCCCTCCCCCGATTGGACAGATGTTTCTGCTACGCTCGCTCTGTTCCACTCCAACATCTGTCTCATATCTAGTAATGAGTCATACCCGACGATATAGATTCTTATTAAAACGAAACTAATTAATGTCTCAATAAAACTTAGTTATTAAATAAAAAAATTAAATTTAAAAGGTAAATAGAATTAAGCTTTTAAGTAATACAACTAAATTATTAGACATCCACAACTAGTTTAGTTGTATTTGAGTTTTTAATTTGGAAGGTTTACATACATACCACTCAGTTCTGATGTATTTACAAAGTTAGCATCTAAGCATCAACTTTTACATATATATATGCCACTTTTTATATGCAATAAAAATGTGTATTTCCCTTTTTTAAGTTAAAATGATGATATTTTTTTTATGAGATACAAAATATTTGGGTGGCATAAATGTAAAAATAATTGTATCTAAGAATAACACATGACCATAACGTTTATAACATTTTGTCAGTGTGGAATCTGAATTTGTCCGGGGTGACACGGTCACACAACCAAGGAACATGATATCATATTTATAGAGTTTTGTAATTAATGCAGGAATATGATTCATTTTGATCAGACGAGTCAGAGGACTTCCCTCTATCAGACAGTGTTTAAATTGAGTTATATTGGGCTCGCTGGATTTGTCTTGTCGAGACGCTCGATTTGACCATGAGCCCATCAAATTCGACGTTTATTTGACCTTCCAAATGTGTTTGAAAAACTTCCAAAAACGGTTTAATGTCTTGATCGGAGCTTGATTTGGTTCAAATTGGATCAATTTTGTTACCATTTGGTTCGTCTCATCAAGCCGGTCAGTCTAGCTATAAATTTACTGAAATCATAGTTCTGAATGACTTTTTTATTGAGATTTGAATATTACTTGCTCAAAAGGTTGCCTCGAAACCATATCATACCTCGAGATCTGTGCTAGATGAAGAAATTTGGTGATGGCTCTACATAAAATTGCAATCACATGTAACAAATAAAAAAAAATAAAGAAAATAATAATAATAGTAATAAGCAATTTATGTGGAATTAAATAATAAATACTTGGAGGCCTAACATGCATTTGTATGATTGGCTCTGAGAGCTTCATGAGAGTGGAATGTCTGAGGTGAAAGGCCAATACAAAATGCACAAAAATGAAGAAAAGGAAAGATAGCTCAATCATGGGAAAGGCCCCCCATGTTCTTTCACATGGTAGGGTAGGGTTAGCAAATTTTCATGCCAACTCCATAATTTATTGAGTATTTGCATACATACCCCTCAACTCTTTATAAGTTTAATTTGTTTATTACATCAATATCACTAAAGTCTTTCATATCATATCAAAAATATTACTATTTTAATTTTTAAAAAGTGAAATATATACTTCCATGTGTATGTTGGTATGTATGTAAAAATTTTTTAATTTTTAAAAAGTGAAATATATATTTTCATGTGTGTGTTGGTATGTATGTAAAAATTAAAAACATAGAAATTGTGTGGTATTCATGTCAATCTTTTTAAATTTTTATTTTCTATAAATGAGATATATTTCACTAGAAAGGCTATATATTTTAAGGTTATATCCATCATTAAAATTAAAATAAGAAAGAAAGATGTTAAGATTATAGGAGTTCATGTGAGGACACATGGTTTCATCACATGGCAAGTTTTAATGTTCCTAATTAAGAGTCCGTTTGAGGGCAGCTTATTTGATACAGTGGCGTTTTGAAAACACACCTAGATCGTTTGGGTAAACTGCATTTTGAGAGCTTATGCATTTTAAAAATACTGAAAAAAGCGTTTCACACCGCAATGGTAGTTTTTTGGCAACGGTCTGGTTTTTCCAAAAAAATAAAAATTTCTAATAGTCACTGCACCTAGCTTATCAACAGATTATTTTAAAACAGCTTATTAGCAGATTATTCAATAAGCTGCAGCTCCCCCAAACAGACCCTAATTAAATAACTTTAGTTGAAATCTAAATAGTTTCTTACCATTTGTAGTTTATTATTTCATTCAAAATTAATTTACTTGGCTGAAGAATTATAGTATATTTGAATTATAATTTGATTAGGCTATTGAATTATATTTCATGTCAATAAGATATCAAAGTCTAAGGTGGTTTTATATTTACATGCATACATATACATACATGCATGCATGCATAAATATACATACATACATACATAAAAAATATACATGCATAAATAAATACATATACATTCTTACATAAATACACATACATACATAATTAAACACACACGCACACAAATAAATAAATTATGCACTGTTTTTTTATGTTTTTTTTTCTATTAATTTCTTTGCTAGTTCTATGTTTTTATAATTCCTCTACTAGCTAGCTTTATATTTTTATATTCTTTTGGGAAAAAAAAAGCTAAATGCTATTGTGAAAAGTATTTAGCTACATAGTTATTTATGTGTTGTTTAAATTTAAATAATTACAACTTAGAGCAAATTTAAGGTGGAAGAAAAAAAATTAATATAATGCAAATTACACATTAATATTTTTAATAACTTTAATTATTTTATTTTTTTTTAGCCAACTCATGACAAGTCAAGTCAGCATGACGAAAACTATAACAAAACTTTGAATCAATAAGTCAACCTAACTATGGACTCAATTTATCATAAAAGTTTGAATTGATAAGTAAAACTTGAGAATTTTGAGTTTCATTCAAGCCAGATCTATTCGAACTCAACTTACATAGCAATCTTATATTTATTAGTGCCCCCTCGTTCAAGCCAAATGTTATGTATCAAAACTTCACTTAATATACTGAGTGTTAAGGCTCGATAAATAAATGATTCTATGTTTTTGTTGCATCATTTTCAAAATTCAAGATGCACATTCTCATAAGGGGAAGCCTAACCTCAACTGATCTTGTTGCTTTGTTCGAGTTAATTATATCTCTCATTGTAGTCACTAACATTACGAAATTCATTGACCATAAGATGCTATTTATCATTAACTACGAAGGCTCTATTATGATACATGTGGGATAATACTTCATACTATCCACACCAACTTTATAATTAGTTTGATTGGCAAATATTATAGAACTAAAACAAAGTATGGACATTAGTGTGGTAACAAGCAATGTGGAGCACTGGAGTGGAATTTGTCATCTTCTAGCAAGCAAAAAGATTAAAAATGTAATAATATTAAGATGAGAAGAGTTCA